GTAGTGGTCTTATCTCGAGTGCTCAGCACCAGGAGATTCCCTTCCAAGCTCCTCATGTGACTGCTGGCAGGATTTAATTTTTCCAAGGCTGTTGCTGGAGCTGGCTCTCAGTCCTTGGGCATCTCAGTAGCGCAGCTCACAGTGTGGGAGTTTGCGTCATACCTACAAGTAACACAGGTAAGGGTCTGGAAAAGAGTGTGAGCAAGACAGAAATCACTCTCTTTTACAATTGAAAGTTGATATCCCCTTCTTGTGCCGGTTCTGTTTACTAGATGTTCATCACTAGGGGCAGCCCATACTTCAGGGGGTGAATGCCAGGATAGGTGGTCACTGGGGACCATCATAGAAGCTGATAACTGCATATTTATTGTGGTAACTGACATACTTATATAATTTTATTTGGCTTTTTGGTTTACATCTTTTTCTCTACCTCCTCTATTCCCATCTAATCCTCCATCTTTCTCCTTATACTCACATCTTGCTCCCTTCTTCCATGTGACATGCAGGCCAAAAAATTACCTTTAGTTTGTAATTTTTGTAGTGTAGTGATAATCTGGGGTTTCACTATATTGTTACAGTTTGTGCTTAAACTTTCACATAATAAAAATTTTGTCATAATGTCCTCTAAAATTAAATTTCATCTGGAATGAATTCACATTCCAGTGACTGATTGGAAGCATTGCATTTCTTTACGTAGTTGGGAGTTAATTTGCAGACGCCTTTAGAGTAGAAAGCTTGCTTTTTGTCTTGCTTGCCCTGCTTTGTTGTCTTTGCCAGTTTCCCCGTGGCCTCCTTTCCCTGCCGAGTGTTTGGTGGTTACTTACGCCTGCACCCAAGCTGGGTGACTGTGGCCTTCTGAGCCCCGTCTCCACAGTGGTCCTGGTCGTGCTGTGGAGCTGGGGCCCGAGCTGGTGGGTGCATGGTTCAGCTGTCTCCTTGGGATCGGATCTGCAGTCTCTAGGCCGAGTCTAGGTCCAGGCAAAATGAAGCCACCATCCCACCTGTGCGTCTTGAGGAATTTTTTTATGGCAGCTTCTTATTCCAGAAGCCCAGGCTCCGCTGTAGTCCTCGTCCTCTGCGGGGCAGGGCTGTTCCAGCTACTTCTGCTTGCCACTCAGCAGGCCTGTTGCTTTGCATTTCTGTTCCATTGGACATTTTAATCTTGTTTTTGAACCTGGCATGTCTTTTGGTCCACTGTTCTTATATTTTATCTGCCCATGTGATGTGCTTGGAGCAGAGTAGATGCATCCAAGTGTGAACTCACTCTGCTATCTTGACTGGAGGAAGTCCTTGACTAAATCACTAAAGATTCCTTTCAATTCCCCATTCAAAGACTATAATCCACCGAGTAGATCTTCATAATGGTGATATTTTACTTTTCTATTGGAGGCAGCCTATTTCATTCAGTATTTTTCCCCAGAAGACTGTCTCAGAAGTCTCCTTAGAGAAAATAGCAACCCGCTACCCCACAAGTTATTCTGTCTCTGGTCTCCTTAGCACGTATCACTCTGAAATTATCTTATTTATCTGCACACACGTTTGTCTCTCCCACTGGGATCTAAGCGCCATGAGAGCAGAAACTTTCTCTCTCATTTCCCTTTTGTATCCCCAAACCCTTTACCATAGCGCCTGTCACATGGTGGGTGCTCAATAATGTTCTGGTAAATTGCCACATCAGTCATGGAAACCTGCCTTCCCGTTCTTAACTCCGTGGTCTTGCAGAGAGACGGGGCCTCCTGAGGGTGTGGGGGCAGCCGTGTGGCATGGCCAGTGTCCTGACACCTGTCTCCACCCATCAAAACTAAGTCACCCCGCGCTCCCCCGCGCCAGCTCCCAGCCTGACACCCAGGCATTTGTATTGCACTCATTTTCTACAACTCTTTTCCATGTGTCACCTCCTGCCCATTGGATTTCATTATAAATCTCAGAGATGAACAGAGCAAGGTGCTGCCTGTTAGTGGATGGAGCCGAGGCAGTGAGCTTGCCGGCTTGCCGGCTCTCGGAGGTGGAGGCCCAGGCTCTGGGGTGTGCAGGAATTAGGCAAGGCCCTTCCTCACAGGAGCTTCCGTTCCAGTGGGTGAGCCAGCCGTGTAGCTCGCTAAACAGTTAATCACTTCCTTCCTTAGTTGTGTTGCAAATTGATGTGACTATAAAAGGAGACCTCCATAGAGTGAACGAGTGTGTGCGAGCATGTGTGTCTGCGTGCATGTGTGTCTGAGTGCGTGTGTGTGTGAGTGTGTCTGTGTGCACGTGAGTGTGTGAATGTGTGTGTGTGAGCATGTGAGTGTGCACGTGTGTGTGAGCATGGGAGTGAGTGTGTGGTGGCATGTGAGTGAAAGAACACGTGAGTGTGTGCATGTGAGTATGTGCGCACATTTGAGTATGTGAATTGTGTGTGTGTGTGTGTGAGCATGTGAGTGAGTGTGTGGGGCATTGAGTGAGTGAGAACATGTGAGTGTGCATACGTGTGCACATATGTGTGCACATGTGGGAGTGTGTGAATGTGTGTGAACATGTGAGCGATTGTGTGGGGGCATGTGACTGTGTGTGCATGGATGTGCACATGAGTGTGAGAACATGTGAGTGTGCGCATGTGCGCACACGTGTGTGGTGAGTGTGTATGTGTGTGATCATGTGAGTGTGCACGTGAGTGTGAGCATGTGAGTGAATATGCGAGTGTGTGCGTGCGTGTGCACGTTTGTGTGTGAGCATGTGAGTGAGTGTGAGAGCGTGTGAGTGTGTGAGCATGTGAGTGAGTGTGAGAGCATGTGAGTGAGTGTGTGTGAGCATGTGTGTGTGAGCATGTGAGTGTGTGAGAGTCTCTGTGGACTGAGGAAGCCATATGGTTGGGAGCTTTTCCCGGGGCCTCGGCTCTGCAGCCCATTCCTGGACTCGACTGTGCTGGCGCAGGCCCAGCGGCCACGGGTGGAGAATTTCTGGAGCTTTTGCCCAGCAGAGGATCCTGATGTGTCGGCCGGCTGCTGGGTGGACACGTGGAAGAGCCTTCTGGTCTGCTGTCCCACTGACCCCTAATGAATGACAACTGAAGAGCCTCGTTGCAATTTTGTTTTCAGATGTCATCTCCTTGCTTGGCTGGGGCTGTTGGCCTGAACACAGCAGGTTGGGAGCCCTGGAGATATTTCTGCGCTGGCCGCTTCACTGTGCCAGACCAGCTTCTCTCTCTGACTGCACAGGGATAGTTAGTGCTTGAGTGCTGGCTGCTGACAGCCCAGCGCAGATGAGCCAGCCACGCTTGCATCCCTGGGACACGGCCCCAGCAGCGCTTTGAAAAATCCTGTGAGAAATCCCCAGCATTCAGTCTCACTGTTTGTATTTAGCTTTTCTGAAGTGTTGGCATTCCACAGGCATTCCAAAAGCCTTCTTGGCATTTTTAGATATTGTACAGCTGCCTTAGGAGCTAAGTTACTTTTCCCCATTCTTGAGGTTAGAGGAAAATCCACAGAAATAGATGGCAGCTTGTTCAGCGTTCAGCCACTCACAGTCAGGTCACTATGAGAGTCCACTCCTCAGTGGGCAGCCTGTCGCCCCTCCTTGGTTCCTGTGTCCCTGGGAGCAGTGTGTTCCTCTAAGCCTGAACCTGTCTGTGCTCGTGAGTTGTCCTGTGGTCAGCGGCTCATTTCTGACCCCCTCCTGTGGCTTTAGAAAGGTCTCATGTCAGGGGGAGTAGCATTGCCTAGGAAACAGGCTTTCAAACACATCAATTCCTGGTATTTTTAACAGTTCAAACCTGTGCGCTGACACCGTGGTATGGTTTAAAGGAAGAGGCTCAGGCTTGGAGTCACGCCGACTTCATTCAACCTCAGTCCTTGACCAGCTTGGTATGCACAAGAATTAGTAATGCAGAGAGCCCAGAATAGTGCCTGACACACTTGACCCTTGCACACACATAGACCAGTGAACAGGTGGAGATGTTTCTTCCTGCCAGCACCAGCTCAATCCCTGGCGTCCTCAGACCCCGGGCAGAGGTGAGACCTTGTCCCAGAAATTCTCTCAGAAACTCTGGGGACACAGGTACCCCAGCCATGATGGAGGTGTTGCTTTGTTTTGGCCTACCGTGACCCTGCCCATTTCTGGTGGGGCTTCCTTTTAATTGCATAGGCCTGTGTGTGGGGTGTGTGTGTGTGTGTGTGCATGCTTCTGTTTCAGATGTATACATTATACCTGAATGAGGAAATTGTTTGTGGTTACCCAGCTGGATATGGGGGAGGGAGGGGTGTCCCATCCCAGCCTCCTGGCTACAGGTTGGCTGTCCAGCTTAGCTATACAGTCTTTGGCTGTGTGTGCCAGGATCTGTTTACCCCCATCAGGTGGGGGGTGAGCAGCCACCTCCCCAGCTCTAGGATTCTGGGCTCTGAAATTACATTCATGGCTAGAAGGCTGTCCTTTCCAATCCCTGATCCTGAGCCTGAGGCAGGGAGTTTGCCTCCTCAGAGGGGCCTATGGACATCCCTGCCTCTTAGGGCTCCGGCCCTGCGTTGGCAGTTGAGGGCAGTGCCAGGTGTGAGGACTCGCGGCTGGCAGACAGCTCTGGCCTACGCAGCGCAGCTCCCTGGCTAGCCCCTGCCTCTGCTGTGGTTCAAACCCGGCAGCTGTGAGCTCTGGAACAGTCACTTAGCCCCTCTGTTGCCTCATCTATAATATGGAACCATAACCTCCCCACCTACATTTTACTGTAAGGATCAAATGAAAGAATCTTGGGGAAGCACTTGGACCGGGACTTAGCATACAGTAAGCATTTAATAAATGTCAAGTGCTTATCCTCTGTGATAGGGTTCCAGCAGTTATCTCCCTGGAAGCCTGGGGGGAGAATTACAAGACGAGCGGGTGATCTGGCACACCGGAGTCTGCAGTTCACGGTGGCTACTCTGTGCATTGTTAACGTTGCCGTGAGCAGACAGCATCTGTCCTGTTCTCCCTGCAGCGCCCGCCCGCCCAGCACCCGCCGCTCACGCTCATGGGCTTTGTTCTCTTCCAACTAGGCCAGGGAGCTGGAGAGACGGGAGGCAGAGCTGAAACGCCGCGACACCATCTTTAAGGAGCAGCTGGCGTGCATTGAGAAGAAGGTAAGAAGCTGCCTGACCACAGTCCACCCTGGTGGGGGAGAGGAGCCCAGGCCCCCCGCTGCAGCTCTCCGCCCTCCCTCCCTCTGCTGCCAGCACCACGCCTCCAACCTCTCAACAAGTTGCATTCACAGACATAATTGGTTTTTAATTGGCCGCTTTCTGTTGAATGTGGCTGGCTCTGTTCTAGTTCAGTTTTACCGAGAATTCACTTTCGCCACAGGGCGGTGCTGAGACCCAGTCTATCTTTCTCACTACAGTTAAGCCGCGTTGGATAAAAATAACAATAACGTGAAGTCTTGCTGTACAAATATATTAAAGTTGTATTATTGATTTTTCTCCCGGGACTCGGGAGGTCAGAGGGCACGGTGGCTGCATTGCACTTTCCCCAGGATGAGCCTTCGGCACGAAGGAGACTCGCCACCCCGTTCCCGCTTTGTTTTTATTTTTAAGCCTTGCGAGCACTCTTGAAAACTCATTTGGTAACTTGCTTACTACGGTGGGGGGGACTTCATGTATTGGTCATGATAGATTTTTCAAAGAAACAGCTTAAAACATGGGAGGGGATGGTTGGGAGGTTAAAAACATGGTCTCCCTCATGCTTAACACAGCATGCCAGGCAGCCTGAGCCATCGCTCGCTTATTGCAGGCAAATATTGCAGGCAAATCTTCGAGAATCGAGAATCGTTTGTCACGGTCTGCAGCTTTGAAATTGACAGTTTGCTTGAGGGGCTTGATTTCCATAGGGCCTTCTCCTGAGGCAAGCCACACTCCAGCCTGGCAGTACCGTGGGTTTCTGGATTTCCAGGCAGGGGGACAGGCGAGAGGCTCCTTCCTGCTTGGTGGACAGCTGAGTTTGCACCCCCCTCCCCGGGGGCTGTTTCGGGGTGGCCAGCCTTGCAGGGTGACCACGAAGCGCTGCTGGTGAGAGCCCCGGAGGCCAGGGGGTCGCCGGTGCGCCCCGGCCGGCCGCTGACAGAGACGGTGCTTCCTGGAACATTCTCTGCCCCGGTGGACTCTAGCTGGTCACCACAAGGGCTGTGATGTGAGATCTGGAAAGGGTAAGAAAACTGCCACCAGCCGAAGCTCTAATGATCACAGCCGCCCATATGTTCATAAGCACAGATTTGCTGCTGTTACTGCGATGTGTGTGATTCTGCCGTCTCCTGCCTCTCCCTCCTGGGTTTGACCCTCGAAGCATGTGCGCTGGTGTCTGTTTTGGGGTGGAAGGGAAGTCACCTCAGCATTTCTGCTTCTCTGAATTTCTGTTTTCCCCTTATCACTGGGCTCTCTTCTCTACTCTAGTTCTCCTTTAAGCCAGTTCCCTGCTTGCTGAGGGAAAGGTCATTCTCCTGGAGGAGTTCTTCAGAGCAGTTCTTCCCCACTCATAATAAAGTGAAATCCAGACTCCTTACATATGCAGATGTAGGGTTGTTTTGAAAAACAAAACAAAACAAGACATGCCTTTTACCTACATGATTGTGAGTGGTTATTGAATGCCTCCAGAAGGTGTAAAGCATGATCTCCTTTCTGACTGTAAACACTGGTATTTTGCAGAAAAAGAAAGAAAGAAAGAAAAGAAAAGTACCTCCAAGCATCCCGGGAACTGGAGATTGGTGGGAAGGAGTTGGGGTTGGGGGTGCTGGAGAGAAGGGAGCAGGGAGGCACAAGGCTTGATTGTATCAGTTTGAAAAAAAAAGGTTTTCGATCTTCTTTGTGGATAATTTTATTCCTGTAATGGCTGGGAGGATGGAAAACACAGCATCTGACAATCTTTTTATTAGCTGTTGCTTTTATGTAATTCTGCTTTCATTTGTTGAATACGCTCAGACCTTGACATTTGCCGCGTCTGTAGACACAGCTTCGGGACCTTCCAATCATTAAGCTTCTTCCTTTTTTTTTTGTTTTCCTCTTTCCTTTCAAGTTTAAAAATGGATGGTGAAACCCGTTCAAGGAGAAACTTGGGACAGCTATTGACTCGCCCTTGACCACCCAAAATAGTTCACGTGGTCGCAGGCGGAGGAGCATGGGGTGGGGGAGACAGAGCTGGGCTGGCTCCCGGAGGGGCTGCCCTGTGACGGGGCCTGTCTGGACCCCACTGCCCTCCTGCCTCTGGAAGCTGGTCTGGAGGCGGAGCTGGTGATGGACAGGTGGGGAGGCTTGCCCAGAATGCAGACTCCTTTCCAGGGAGCGACTTCTTGACCCTTCGTATTGCAGCATTTAATTCTCCAGATGATTATTCTCAAGTGTGGAAATCATATTTTGCAGGGCTCCTAAGTTTTATAACCCTTCTGAGTAATCGTTCCTCACGCCTACTTGGCAAGATAGTGGGGAGCATTTTTCTGTTTCATCGCAGAAAGCATTGGGCTGCTGGGTTCCGGGGGCCTTTGAGTGTCCTGTGGCCCCCAGAAGCCTCCCCAGCCCTCCAGACTTGGGGTCCACAACACCCTGTGAGCGGTGGCCAACGTTAACAGTGGGCTCTCTGCCCCCACTGAGCCTCCTCCCCTCTCTATAAAACGGGGGTGCTAATGCCTTTGTCAAGGAGTTGAAGGCTTTAGAGGTGGCCACACCTGCAGACATGGTGTAGGCTTGCTGCCTGAGCAGAAACATGCTGGTTATCTCTCTTTCAAGTCCCGCCATGCAGTGGGGTTAGTGAGTGAGCTCAGGTGCCTGCTCTCTGGCAAAGGGGCGCCTCCTCTTTGGGCCTTTCCAGGTCCACGGCAGTGCCTGTCACGCAGATGTGGGGGCGAGAAGGGCTCAGAGAAAAGCCACATGGGGACCGTGGGCTGCTCCTGCATGTGCTGCTCACACCCCGACGGTGTTCGGGAACAGCGCCTTCTCCATGTCAGATGTGCCTGGCCCAGGGAGGCGACACTCTGCCTCCTGTGACCGTCAGCGTCGTGGCCGCTGCTCCTCTGCTCGCCTCACCTGTCTCCGAACACCTTTCTTGGCCGTGCTTGGTGGGCTCCCCCCACACACCACCCCTGGATTCCGCGTCGGGCTGAGGGTGACCGTGCCCGTCAGGCCCTGCACACTGTTTGCCTCCTGGCAGGAACCTCCACGCTGAGTGGCCCTGCACAGCCACTGAGGCGCCCACTCTGGCTGGCCAAGGACTTGTTTTCTGCCCTTGACCTTGGGACCAAGTGGTTTGGGGTGAGGGAGCAGTAGGTTTGGGAGCCCTGAGCTTTGTCTCAGTGCTTGTTTTGCCTCAGCAACGGCACAACTCTGAGCAAGTTGTTGAAGCCCCGTCCCCTCGGTTTCCTTATTTTTGAAGTGAGAATATTAAGACTAGCCTGTGCATTCTTTGGGGGTGAGTGAGCTGTGAGCAGCGGCCACCAGAGCCCCTGCCACGGGGCGGTCAGTCTCCCTTCACTTGCCGTCCTCTCGGCTCTCCTCTAACAGCCGCTCATTAACTCCACGGTAATTTAATTCTGCTAAATGCCAGGCCCAGAGATGATCCCACCGATTGCGACTCCTGCCTCATGACACTGTTCGGGAGGGGAGGGAGGTGCTGAGGATCAGGATACCAGATGGGAGAGCTGGCTTCCTGTGACCTGGGGGGACCGGCCAGCTCCTTTGAAACGGCCTCACTTTTTCCAAAGTTAGCCGCTGTAAAGCGGAGAGGGCGTTTTCCAGGTCTAATTTCAATTGATCGAGGCTGGGAGAAAGGGAGGAACTCGGAAATGTGTGTGTGTGTGTTCTTCCCAGATTTCAGGCTTTTCCACAGAATGTAATTAAATCTCCCTTCCGGACCCTGCCCTTTGGTTCCACGCGCCACCCCAACTCTAAGCACTGAGCACTCATCCCTGTCTCCCCAGCCTCTCTCTGCCGCGGCTCCGGCTTTCTTCTCTGAGGAACAACTGCCAGGAGACCGCGCGAGCCTGCAGCCTCCTCACGGACGGCGTCAGGCAGCCCCTGCCTGGTGCGCTGGGAGCGGCAGCAGGTCTGCTCAGGCAAACAGGAGCGGCCCCAGTCTTCAGAGGAACAGGAGTTGCCTGTGGTGGTGACACTCTGTGGCCGAAGATGGCTCACTGGCCGGGAGCAGGTGGAAAGGGACAGCAAGTGCGGGTAGACCCCTAGACTATCCCAGTGTGTACCCTGGGGAGGGCAGAGGCAGGGCAAGTGGAGCCACCAAGTGCTGGCAAGGCTGTGGTGTAATCAGGCTCTCGGATACCGGGTGGGTGGGTGAGGGGGCTGCAGGCTGGCCCTGCCGTGGGGAACTGGCACCTCGTGTCTGTGAAAGCCGACCATAGGCATCGCCTACAGCCTGCCCTGCCGTACCTGACAGCAACCACGTGGGGCCCGGGGTTTAGCAGAAGTGCTGCAGGGTGTTGCTTGCGGCAGCCCCCAGCCATCAGCGGGCTGGAGGCCTAGCAGTGGTCATCTCAGTGAAGGTCCGCTCCGGAAGGAGGCCGAGCAGTAGGAGGCCCGCCGGTGGTCATCTCAGTGAAGGTCCACTCCGGAAGGAGGCCGAGCAGTAGGAGGCCCGCCGGTGGTCATCTCAGTGAAGGTC